CTGCCCAATTTTCGTGCCGATAAAAATATGGCTCAACGTTTGACATGGTATATTACGCAACGAAATAAACACAATTTGGCTATGTTTTGTCAGTGGCCCGATAAAAAAACATTACGCTCTTGCGAAGAAAAGTCGCTTAATCAACGCGATTATGCAACGCGAGTTCTGTATCAACAGCCAGGAGACATGCGCAATACTCCCGTGACAGCTAATCAATCACAGAGCGACGGGAAAAACAAACATTTCATCGCTCACTTATCTCATTTCGTGCGAGATCATCAAACTCTGCGTCCAAATTCGGTCAAGGTTCGATATTTTTCGTCCGCTCGATAACGCACAATGATCGAGTGTTCCTTATCTCGAGTGGAGGGCTAGCGAAATCTTATTGCGTACGTTTCTATCGCACTGGTCGAATTAATTTGGCGATGATGCAAAAAGATGCAAATTATTGCGATAAGTGTTTACTGAAGCTGTCGCGTTTTCTCCTCGAGCGACGACCCACTCGAGAGATAATGCCCCGTTACGTCCAAACTGTTTATCGCCACACAATAGACGAATTGTGATACTCGAGAGAAGAGAGGGGCGACATATCGCGTCCGATGGCGAACAAATGATAAACATATTTTCGTCCGAATGGCATAAAAAAGACTGCTCGTTGTCAAAGGGAATAGTGACCGTCGCGCATCCGCTCGAAACGCGTTATCAAAGCGACATTCTCTTTCGACATGTGGAACCACGGTCGTTATCTGTTCAATTTGGGTCTGCTCGCGAACGAACAAAACAATTTATTGTTAGAGTAGGTATTTTTTGTTCAACGGTCAAAAAAAGTGAAAAAAACAGTTTTTTTGTAAAATATGTTCGATTCGTAATTTCTTCATACTTTGTTACAGATTAATAGCTACAAACGAACACGCTCAGTATGTGCAGAGCAAATGTCAATATCTATCGGCGCGTCTGATCGAGCAATTGTCATCCGCGAACGCTCGGGCGTCCAGACAACGCTATCGGCCTATTGCCAGCACATTGGCATTACCCGAACAGAGCGGGCAAATTCATAATTTTCACCAGTCCAAAGCGCACAGGATACGCAAATCTTGTCGCAGACGACGTGTCAGAAACGCTTCGTTTCCGTCTTCACAGTCAGTGATATCCTCTTTGCCATCACCGGCACAGTCGCTTCGATCAGTAGCACAAGAATCCGATTTGTCAAATTCGCCATCACCGATTCGTCCACAGTCTTCAGCCATGGAGCTTTCGCAGCAGCGACGCCATCACCGTTGTCTCCGTTATTACAACAGGCTCCTTGTACACCGTCACCGCACGAATCGCATCACACAGAGCAGCTACCACCGTCGCGACTCGAGCCGTTGCAACAATCGGAGCGGCCATCGTTCGAACGAGCGTATTCACCGTTGCCTGAGCGATCGCACCAATCGCCAACGATCGAGCGATTGCACTATTCGTTACCGATCGAGCGATCGTGTTCACCGCTACTCGACCAATCACCAACACACGATCGATCGCACCAATTGTCACCAATCGAACGATCATGTTCACCGCTATTCGACCGATCGCCAACACACGATCGATCGCACCATCGTCACCGATCGAGCGATCATGTTCACCGCTACTCGACGGATCGCCAACGCACGATCGATTATCGCAAACTCCACCTATAGACGATCGGTCGCCAGCACACCTGTCACTGTCAGGGCAATGCGAGCAACAACGGCCACAGTTCGAACGATCATCGCCAACGCCGTTATCACGTAAGCCTGAACAATCGCCACTCTCGTCCAGGTGCTCCGCCGTTGTTCAATGGTCGCCGGTATCGAAGCAAGCTTCTTCATTGTACAATGCAAATTATTTTTTATCCGATTGGCCGAAGCGTTGCGACATAGAACCGGAATTGGAAAATTGGTACAATTTTGTACAATCTGAATTACGTGCGCAATTTTCGCCCTCGCGCAACACGAGCGAAACTAAACGAACGATCGAAGAAATTTCGAACAATAGTTACGACACGACCATATGCAACGAAATGATGGATGGTTTGTCACAACAGTCGGTAAACCGTTTTGCGCAATCTGTCGGTGAAACAGCGAATGCTGTCTCTAATATACCGACAATGTGCGATTTTACCAACCGTGGCGAAGTCGATGATGGTTTTGCTGAGAATGTGAGTACTGACTTGGACGATCTATCGACCTCCGCGTGGTGTCGAGTGTTGAACAATGGTGCGGTTGGCTCGATCAATTCCACAGCGTCAAAGGTATTGACACGAGCAGTTTTTAAAAATTGTTTGGCGAACAATAATTATTGTGACGTTGCAGCAACCATTTCAGCAGTAGCGAAATTACCAGGGATTACAAAATGTCATTATGAGCAAGGAGTACTCTATTTCGTACACGGCGCTCGAAATTTGAAAGCCTCGTTGCCGATCAGACGAGTAATGTATGCTGAATTCGAATCGTTGCACGATATATTCGAATCGACCGTGGTATTCGGTGACGCGAACGTCGTGGCTTTATTAGAGTACGATAGTTGCTTTTGCACACCGTCTATCGCGAACAAAATTACAGCCGCCTTCGCCATAGTGTACACCGTTCGCACTTGGATGTCCGTGTCGCGCGTTGACCATCAAACTAACGATTGCGTATTAATGTTACACGATAATTTTTTGTGCATCGTGCCAGCAATATTTCGCAATGTAAAAATGGGCATGGCCCATTTGCAACGATTGGACGAACATCACGTTACGATCGGACTCGTTGCCAAAAGAGGCAGACGTTGGATCAATTGCGACAATAGCGTTGTGATAGACGATGCGCCATTGTCAAATAGCAATATCGATTTGCTCGAACGAGTTTCCGATACAACTGATAAAATGACCGTATTGCGAAATAATGTACCGATGTATTGCGCAGTTGTCAATTTTACCGATGTTTCATACAGCGAGACATCCCGTTCGGTGTCCATGTGCGATTTGAACGCCACTGATATTGTACAAAAAACGAGATGTTTTAATTTTGAAAGTATATGTTAACCATGTGCAATAATAAACCCAATGTATGTACATATTGATTCATGTTATTTACTCAGCGCTAATCGCACGTATTATACTACATTTGGTCCGAAGGTGAGTAGCGCTTTAATGGACTGTCGCAACGCTCGAATGTAATTGTTGAAATATTCATCATTGGTTGCGTTTACATTCTTGCTCATGCTCAATAGTTTCTCGAGAACCGCTTGTAAAGCAGGCAAATCTCTGCGAATTGTTACGTCCAGACCGGCGATTTGTCTCCTCGATCTGGTGGTCATGGGTGATACATTGAACGCATCGTCCCACAATGCATAACACTTTGAGTCAATGTCATCACGGGCATCGAGATCGCTTCGAATGAAAGACACTGATGATATCGCCAATCCGCACAACACAGCGACCGTAACACCAGCTGCGGTGTAAGCGATGATTCTTTTGGAGCATTGACGCTGTTTGCGCAAAACGTTGGTTGTTCATTGTCTATATTCTCGTAATCGGACGCTACGTTCCTAGTATCGTCGGTGTCGACGGTATCACAACGCACATTCGCGTATTCGTTCGTCGCCAGCGCATTGTCGTATCTACGCATCATCATCGTCGTCGGTCTGTAGATCGATTGCTCCTGCTGACGTTTCCAATTTGACGGCATATCGTTTGTACGCGTATCGGTCGGTTTGTCAATATCACCACAGGCGTCGGTATATTCACTCTTACACGCAACGGCAAAGTGTTTCGACTGCGACGGTGAAAATTGTGCCTATATATAAATTTGGCCCCCGTTATACTAGCCACCGACATATTTAACAAAAGTATATATTGACGGAATTAAGTTCAAGCAGTGCGCTTGCCTGTAGTCGAACCGATCATTAAATTCATACGTGCAGCATGTCATTGGTAACGACCGCGATTTGTTTTCTATCGTTTGTCACAGCACTAGTTAAAAGTGCCGATGTGTCGGTTCAACGTCAAATCTGCAACAATCGTCAATTGACTGTGTTTCGCGGAGTTGGCAGCGCCACCGTATTGTCAGACGAGTCACTGAATCGTTCGTTGACGTATCAATTCGTCTCGACGCATTTGGAGTGCGTGCAATTGGTCAAACATTCCCTGAATGCAAACGGAAGATCTGTCTTTGATGATTCGTTAATTTTCTCGTCGGTCGATGAGAAATGATTTTGCAACACGAGCTCGATCGTACGATCAATTAATGGTTGTTTACAATTGACAATAACGAAACTGATGTTGCGTTCTCGTGCGATCGACGCAATTACCCGTATGCTCTAGCAAGGCGAAATTTTTATGTTATATTTGCCCCGGTGAACGAAATGTCGATACGAGGTAACATTTTGAGACTTCCGATCAAAACTATCTATGTGATATCGGAAAATTACAAGCATACTTCAACGGCGCTCAGCAATTGGCCGGATTATTATGTGGACATTAGACCACAGCTGTTCGTTTTAACGGCTCGCTCTTTAGGATTAGGTACGCGTAACAAGCAGATTGAATAAAAAGTATCATGTGTATTTTGCTGGTCTTTTATGTTACAGATAAACTCGTAAATTCAAATTCACAATGTTTGTCCATCTTCGAACGCAGCGACAATGTCATCGTTGAAGATACACGACTGTGCGACTGGGAGAAGAGACTGATGCGTTCATTCGTACGACTGCAACGCTCGACTGGAATGTTCACGTGACACTGACTCGGAACGAGCCGAGGATAACGAGGAGTCTGATCAAACCGCGTTAAAATTGAAAATTTATGACATTATGCTGCGAGAGGTGTATCCATTGCTACGTCGCGTATATTCCGCGTTGACTACTCAAAGCGATCGGTATAATATCGCATCGGACACACTTAATTACATATTGTAATTTTGTTCATAAAATACTGTTGTCTTTATTGTCTAGTGCGCTTATTTCTCCTTGTTCCAAATGTACCCGATTGTTCGACAATGGATCGTTTGTTGCGCATCTTCGGACCGTGCACGTTTGCGTTCAGCTCCGGCGCGACGACGCTCGGGTCGCTCAGCTCCGGCACGGCGACGCTCAGCTCCGGCACGGCGACGCTCAGCTCCGGCACGGCGACGCTCAGCTCCGGCACGGCGACGATCGGTTCCGGCACGAAAATGCTCGGTCAGCTCAATTCGCTTAGCTCCGACACGACGACGCTCGGTCCGATCGATTCGCTCAGCTCCGGCACAACGACGCTCGGCTCCGGGACGATAATAATGCTCGGTTCCGGTACAATCGATTCGCTCAGCTCCGGCACGACGACGCTTGGCTCCGGGACGATAATGCTCGATTCGCTCAACTCCGGCACGACGACGCTCAGCTCCGGGACGATAATGCTCGATTCGCTAGATTCGCTAGATTCGCTCAGCTCCGGTGCGATAATGTCCGACTTCGGTGTGACAATGCTCGGCTCCGGGACGATAATGCTCGATTCGCTAGATTCGCTAGATTCGCTCAGCTCCGGTGCGATAATGTCCGACTTCGGTGTGATAATGCTCGGCTCCGGTACTACGACGCTCGATTCGCTCAGTTTCGGTACAATGACGCTCGGTTTGCTCGATTCGCTCAGCTTCGGTGCGACGACGCTCGGTTTGCTCGATTCGCTCAGCTCCGGCGCAACCATGCTCGGCTCCGGCCAGACGACGCTAGCTTCGTTCGATTCGTTCAATTCACTCAGCTCCGGTGCGACTCTATCGTCGTGAATACTCACTACCCTCGATATACCGAATTTATCGCGAGACGTCTCTCTCAATTTCAGCTCAATGGGCTCATCGTCGGGTGATGTAATGTTGACGTGTTCATTAGGAACAGACGATCAATCGAACGGTTCGCCGTTAATAGGTAAAGTTATTCGCCAACCAGATTGCTCAGAATCTACCAACGCATTGGAGGACAATGTCAATTTTGTTCGAGTTTCATCCTCGTCACTGGAATATTCGATTATATCGGGCGACGGCGATTCGCTATAATGTCGTTATCGAACGTCCGAATTTATCGAAATTTTCTGGTCTGTTTGAGCCAGTGCGCGCGATGCATCGTTCATAGTCTTATACGCATCGGTGTAACATTTGATGTGATCGGAACGCAACGGTGCTTTCGATCGAATTAAATATATGACCAACGCGATCAACCCGCTCAATATAACGAACAGACATACAACGCACGCTTGATACCATAACATCCAATCGGGCATTATGTACGTCTGTCTTGTTGATCGCACAAAATGTTAGAATCTTATAACTTTTATCGCGCGAGTCAAAGAAAGCAAGATGCTACATCAAGTGCACGCGCCTCGAATACAAAAGACGACGACTCGGCGACGTTATCAGCGCGATCGATCAACGTGTCGTCGTAATCGTTTGAAAATGTCACGCAATTATCTCTCTTAGCACCTAACGTCTCTCGAACGAATACCAATTCAGCCAGACTCCGTTCGGTAGTGACTGAGCTGAGTGTCGTGTGAACCAAACGTTCGATATTCATTATACAAGCGAGCAATGAAAATATTCGACGTTCTAAACTTGAGCAATAAACCGTAGTCTCATTCTCATCGATGGAAACAAATGCGATGTTATTGACAGTTACTCGATGATCGAGAATACCGTCCGCAGCAAGCAACGCATTTTCGAGCGCCTGTTCGTCGCAACAGATGTACAATGTACCGGTATTGACATCGAACAGCGCACCGAACGCCACGCTGCCTCGTGCATCGTTAACTGCTGACAATGGTGGTGAAATGTGCGTGACGTTTCTCACCACATCGTAAAAATACGAAAAATACATAGAAATGCATGGTAAAATTCGACGATCGTTCGGAACGCCATGTTGATCGATAGCATCGACGCACAAATCGCGAGGATCGGTGCATCGGTGCGGTACCGAAAGCGGAGGTTCATCGTTCGACTCGACCGAATGGTTCGTCGCGTAATCTGAGGACGATGCGAATCGAAAAGCCTTTTCCAAAAGGACAATTCTGGCCAACAATTGTCGATGCGAATGGTTGACGCGATCGAACGATCTTGTTCTTCGATCTTTCGTCGCCAGTAAATCGAACAGGCTCGACCATTTGATCTCTTTCATTTTTGACAATAATTTCATCGTGTGAACACTAGCTTTGACCAGGCCCGCACCATTATCGGCCGAATTGTGCCTTGTGCTGCCGTTGCACCAACAGCAGAACAGGAAACAAATACTTTGGTGACTTGATGAGGAAAAGGTAATACAGAAAAAAGAGACAATTCGCTTTGTAATAAACGTTTTTTTTGTATTCTTTATAGACAATGTTTCAACAATAAACAAATGTTCAAGGTGTCACGAGACTATTCGTATGGACAATTCGTTGCGGTCGAGCCATTGTCGCCAAGAGCCAAGTTGCAACTGCCTGTTATCGTCAAATAACGCATCCATGGGATTCGAACAGGCCGCGCCATTATCATCGGCACGAGTCGTCAACCAGTCGATATGAGCATTACTCAGAATGTGATCAAATGTTGCCGAATTGGTGTATGTGTTTTGATTCAATCGATCGCTCGCATCGCAACGTTTGAAGCGCTCGACCAATTGTAAAAAATATACGGCTAATCGTCGAATAATTTTGTAATAGTTTAATTTATCACGACCCGCGCGAAAATCTCGCAAGAGACAAAAATTCGTAGCGTCTGGATCGAGACTGTTCAGCGAGAACACGCAGCGTACCCGATCGCCCGGACTGTAACCATACCGTTCGATAATACTCTGAATAAACGCGGCCTCCGCACCGATCACAGCGCGCGGATTCAACGCCAAGTTGAACGCAAAGGACTCGACGCCGTGTTTGATTCTGTATTTGTCCAGAAAAGCGAACATGGAAGAAAAAAAGGCCCGTTGATCGTTTATGACTATGTGACAGTTGGCTCGACGTATCGCTAAAATCGCAGCGACATTGCGCTGTAACGTAACGACGGTGTATTTGACAAATTCTTGAGCATTTTTCTCGAATTCCTTGGTGACAAAACGACTGTTTGTCGCATCGAGAGTTTTCCAGTATTTCTTCTTGCCCATAATGCTGCACGTTTCCACACCGGAATCCTCTAGATCTATCGCGATCAACGGACACTCGTAACGACGAAATGTGCGGTTTATCGTACGTACTATCAAAGATTCGTATGCTCGTTGTTCGACCGCGGATATGGCGCAAAAATTTTGAGAATCGTCACTGGTTCCAGTCGACGGTTCTGCTTGACGATTCGATCTAGAGAGGCACAGTATCAGCCCATCGGTATCACGGTACACAACGTTACAACGGATGTCTGACGCGTTCCGAACGATTTCAGTCTCCTCGGGTACAATAGTGCGAGCAATCTTGACAGCGGCGTCCACTCGAGACGTAACTATCGCCGGTAAAGCCACTTCGCAAATCCACGTAGTCTCGTGAAACGTTTTACGCGATAACAGTGTTACCGCAGCAGCCACTTGCGGCGAATATACTACGCTATGTCGATAATTCAGATCACCGTACATCGAATTGGCGACAACTTTGAACATTTTCTCTTTGCACGCGAAAACGCAACGTTGGAACACGTCGCTAGTCTCGCGCACCATTCGCTTATATCGTTGGCGCGTACGCAGATAATGTGTCCAGAGGGAACATATGATCGGACGGTCGCGATTGATACTCGCGCTGCGACAAACTACGAGAATTCTGCGTTTTGAGACATCTTGGCTCGAAGCGATCATTTCGCGCGCATTGGAAAATTCAACACCTTCGTACCAGCAACCATGGCTGCGCAATACCGCCGAAGCCAACGAGTTTCTTCCGCGAATAATGTAATTCGACATGTCGTCGAGCGCACGATTAGTCTCGATCGACGCTGGAGTCACCAAACGATCGATGGTTTCGCGCCATTTCGATTCGACAGGCTCGTAATCGAAACAACGAATCAAACCGGTCCGTATGCCGTCGTCCAGAAACGCGGTATCGTGATTGTGCAATGCCAACAAATGTAAGCACGTTACCACATACACCGTTTCCATGGACAATTCGTATTGACAGCCGATCGAGGGATAGAACGATGCAAAGTCCACGCAAATGGGCCGCCTGAAACAAAGTGAGAAACAAAATAATTTGGGAGAGACGTACATTTCGCTCATGATCACAAACCAACAGCGCGACGAAACGCCTCGACGTGTCGCAGGCTCGACGTGTCGCAAGTTCGACGTGCGATTGCACGATCGAGCAGTTGTACAATAGTAACGTTCCCTTGCACGTAGTACGGAGCAGTAGCGTTCCCAGTCTTATTGTACCTCTGACCATTCCGTACTATGTACTGTATAATAGTACCGGGAACGCTACTGCTCCGTACTACGTACAGGAGGGGGGAACGGTACTACTGTACAATCGCACGATTGCACATTTGTGCGCTCGCGTCGAGCGCACATCGAGCGAACGTCGAGCCTGCGACACATCGAGGCGTTCCGTCATGCTACGATGGTCGAACGAGTTGCGATGATGTAACTTTGTTCGACATTCGATGTTCGCTCGACGTTCGCCGCTAGACGTCCGCTCGACGTTCGAGCGTGCTGCGATGATCGAACATGTTGCTCGACGCTTGCCATTCGTTCGACGTTCGAGTAAAAGTTACATCATCGCAACACATTGCGAACGGCACCGATCGTTATGAGTTGCGCGCAAAAATTTTCAGAGAGCGTGCTATCGTGCTATCGTGCTATCTTGCGATTGTACAGTAGTAACGTTCCCCCCGTATATAGTACGGAGCAGTAGCGTTCCCGGTCCCATTGTACCTCTGACTGCTCCGTACTACGTACTATACAATAGTACCGGCCGTGCGACGAAACGCCTCGTTATATACATTTTACCCCCCTCCATGTCGGACCTTTTGTACAAAAAAAGTGGGAGCGTGCTAAATGTCATTTATTGGTCGATCAGAAAAAGTACCAACATCGCAGATGTTTTTTTTTATGTTAACAATTTAGCACGTCAACACGCTCAACTCCGAGACGCGAATGCGCAGTTGAGCAGTTGTGCATTTGTACAATTGCGCATATAGGCACACCGTGAAAACACAGTACTCACGCATAGTGATTCGGCACCGCCGAGTTTATACCGTCAATGTACAGCTTGCTGTCGTCTATGCGTATCAGGTTCAGTTGATCGTATACCGATGGCAAACGAATCGCAGCAGCTGCTCCGAGCGACGAAGAGTCGATAACGGTGGATGCGACAGTTTCGCCGCGCAGCCATTGACCGACCGTGTGCGGAGACGTTGGTATCACCAGGGCCCGTGGTTGTCCGTGAAAGTCGCGCTTCTTCGCGTCGCTCGGCGCCGAGATTCGCGAATGCATCGAGAACATTGCGTGATCGTTGCATCTGAACGGCAACACCACGCCGTGCTGGAGTGCACATACGGCGAACGCGTTCGGCAAGAGTCTGCTGTTACCAGAGTGCGACGAATCGAACAACGTGGCGTAAAAGTGACGCGCGTACAACGCGATCGTCGGCAGGAGCGATATATTTTGCGCCAAGTGATACACGGTCGTGCTATCCTGAAGATTATACAACGACACGCGCAACATACTGACGCCGCGGTCAATGTTTGGCGAATCGAACGCCGCTCTCGAATCGAACACCTCGTTACCGCCGTCACGATCAAAGTACAGTCGACAGATTGTAACCGCGTCAAAGTTCATCTTTTCCCGACGCGAG